CACTTGTGATTTATCTATTAGAAATATAATAATCAAGTAGGCTGTATCTTCTCGAAATTTACTTTTTAAATATCAACTTTTTATAAATTAATTTGCCAAAAGTATAATCAAAGATATTAATAGCTTAATACTATGGGAGTAGAGAAAATAATAAGGGACGGACTACTAGGGAGAGAGTAGCTAGTAGCTATGGTTCGAAGAAGTACTAATTTAGTGTTGTTATGCATTTGCAAATGCATAACAAATACTAAATATTAAAAGTCACATGGAAAAAGAGAGAAAGGAAGAAAGAGAAAGATGTGTGGGACTACTTCTAATCGTACCACTGAAAGTTTATATAATACCATTAGTTATTTAGTGATACTATATAAACACGTAGTTAGTATCACTTAATGTATATATAATACCACTGAAAACATGTATAGTACCACTGAAATATTCAATAGTACTATTTAATCACCCAATGATACTACTCTAAAATCAAGTACTAAATTACGTACAATTACTCCTCATTATGCAATTGTTCTCGTATGTTTTTGGCTTCTTGCATAAAAGGACTCCCTTTAAACAAGCTCGCTACGGTTCACCGATCGATCCTAGTTGTGTTGTAGTAGGTCCATATTTCATTTTAATGAATTTTGGGAGTGGGTCCCAAGTGCTGGTGTGCTTTGATTCTGGCGTACGTTGTGTGAGTGCAGTGTCTGCCTTGATCTTTGGGACACACCACACACCACTCTGCAAAGAAAAGACTAACATAATCTGGGCCCTGCACAAATAAAACCAGCACCATTGCCATCTGCATTTGCATTGGCATTGGCCCCATCAAAACCAACTTCATTTTACTCTAACGTCTCCGCGATTCTCGCACCACACCATCATCTACTTCTTTTACCTCTTTTTCGATTTTACAGCCTTTTCGACCAGGTTTTTTTTTTCTTTTTTTTTTTTGTTTTTATTCAAATCGAATATACTTCATTACATAAGAAGGTAAAAAACATATTTTAATTTTAGACATCACCAATCAGCTTAAGCTTATGACTCTACGTGAAATATTTAATATTGGATTATACTTTATCATTATCTTCATGAAATTGATAATTGTATTGATAATGCTAATTAACAAGACTATAATACGGACTATATTTCGATTCTAATTTTTATTTAATAACTTGTGTCTACTAATTCTTATAATCTGATTACTCTTTTATTGGGTGACGGGCGCAGGGACATCTATTTACCTTGACTGATTCGACAGATTTATTTCTTAGGGTTCTTTTTTCACTAATATAGTATTTACAAGGCAAACAAACAACGTGTTTATCAGGCTCAACCAAATTACAGGAATGACTGCACTGCATTTAATTTGCTTTAATAGTAATGTGTCGTGGTATGTTTTAGTGGTGTTCTACCTTTTCATGCATCTTTTGTGTGGGACTGTTGGTAAACAAAGTCGCAAAATATTGTAATGTGAACGGGATTTGATACCATATTAAAATTGGCATACACTTTTATATTGATTAGTGGATTACACTAAAGTTAGTCGCTTATTAGAACTCGGGTTGATAACATCTCATATGTGTTTGTTTTTCCAGGGGGATTGGGAGAACAAATCATCAAGAATAGTGAAGGTATAACGGTCGTATTGTCCACGGAAGATGTATTTATAGTTATAATAATATTTATTGTAATGAACAAGTTTATGACATCCTGGTTTATTACAAAGATAACAAGTGTTAATTTATCCAATTAATATATTGTTAAATCTTATTTCAACAAATTATTTTGTTTTAACAATCAACTAGTCATTATATTTGTTTTGAAAAAACTACGTGCAAGACAGCATAGTTAAGTGGCATAAATTGAGACTCTTAAAATTAAGGGAAGAATTATTTAACAATTCAAATGTAACATCTTGATAACAAAACTATTTTCTAATTTTACAATAATACGAATTATATTATATGGTCAGATTTTTTCAACCAGGCCCTCGAGTATGGATAACATGAATTTAACTCTATTAAGTTGGATAGGTTTGAAGCTTTATACGTTGATACTAGCTTTAGATATTAATACTTGTTTATCAAATGCAATCAGTCAACCACACTCTCCATGGCTATTATACATGTACTTATTTCGTTTCAAAATAATTTTAACAATTTCACTTTTATATTACCTACTTATATAGTTTTATGACAACATTCTCTTACTAATACATAATTTGTATAAATCAAAAGTTGATGAGTAACATGTGGTTAGATTAATCACAATATATGTATTATACAATTATAATATAAAACAGAGGTCGTATAAAACAATATAATAAGTATATCAAACAAGTTCTACTTAGGTTAGTTCAATTCACTTTAATCAGCATTTGGGTGATGATTGGTTACATATTTCGTTTGAATTGAGTAAGTCAGAATTCATTTTAAGTCTATTGTCAATCACATTGTGAAGCATTTATGTCAAATTAGCAAGATTAATATTAGTTTTATCAAGTTCTAGCTTATAGGTGATCTTATAATTGATTCGATGCTAAATCAAACAATTTTATCAAGTCTAGGTATATAATAATATTAAAAAAAAAAAGCAAAGTAATTTATTATGATGTATATTTAATGCCATTATGCCAAACCCAACCCCAAGTTTGCTGAGACATTTTATGGCCTTTTTTAATTTATTATGATTCACACCCTGATTTTTTATGGCCTTTTTTGTTCCCTGAGACATTTTTGCTGGGCCTTAAAATAATCAATTAATAAAGGTAAAAACGACCAACAGTATGGTTTTTTTTTTTTTTTTTTTTTTTTTTTTTTTTTTTTTTTTTTTTTTTTTTTTCTTGGTTAGATAAAGGATCCTCGTGGATTAGAGTCTTTTACAGGTAACCCAATGTAAGTTATCGGGCTAACTAATTTGGAAAAATAGGGATAAAGTTAAGGGAATTCCCTCCTCCAATTGGCCTTAATGCGGTTGAAGTATCTCATGGTTAGAAATGCTCTCTTTTATTTTAGGCTAAGATGACCTTGTAACTATATGGTTATTATATGACTTATGAGGAAAAAATAAGTTTCATCACGATTATTGTATTTAACAACTACTCATATAAACAACAAGAAAAGGAGGTCATCAAAATTGTTAGAATTGAAATTTTATTTTGAATCAATTAAACTATTTAAAATTTGATAGAGGTGAATATACATTTGTTAAAGATACAATAATAATATTGTAGAATTTTGTGGTACATAGATCGGTCTCAAATTCTGAATCATTTACGCAGTAATTACGAAGTTTAAAACATGCAAAATATTTTGATTATAAAAATATGTGAAATTATTTTGATTGCTTGGTTTTTGAAAATTTTGAGGTTTTTGATGATTGGAACTTTGAAGGAGTTTACACAACACAACTTTGTATAATTTGATTTGTACTCTGGAATTCTGGATATATAACTGCTAAGTTTAATAATCTTGGTAAAAAGAAGGAAATAAAAACAACATTTCTTCCCGTAAAAAAAAAAAAACTACTATTATACTCCGTACACTATAATCTATATCACTAATTCATTGTATAGATACATTATTTGTAACTTTTACGGAGTATTTTTTTGGTGTTTAAAATTATTATAATGAAACACTACAAAAATGACAATTTTGCCAACACAACTAGCATCTACCATAACATTAAATATTACGATAACCATCATCTACCACAACAGTTAATTTTGTAATCATATCCTTATTCTCCCTACTTTGTCAAATTCATAAAAAATAAAAGAATCGGTCTATCAAATTCAACATCATCAACATGGGTTAAAATTGATGCAAGCTAAGATTGACAAAGATGCACCTAATAAAGCTACTAATCACAAAATTCTCTCAATTAAGTTGTCACACCACATTATAGTATAAGATGTTGATACATCAATGAAGATTGAAGAATCACTCATTTCCAAGGCTTTTAAACGAATTACAAGTAAAGAACCCTTTTCAAGCCTTAAATGCCTCTAAAACAAAAGAATAATGTATATGGAAGATGAACACATGGAATCTTCTCTTCCATACCACCCATATATCTCATTGCAATCCACTTTATATGTGGCTTTGGCTCATATCCAAAGGACCACAAAATAATAAATATACCAAAAATAGTCCAAACCCTCATACAATGTCTAAAATACCCCTTTATAATTAAATTATTTGTGGTGGAATTGAGCATTTTGTCCCACCCTATTAATTCATAATCAGTTTGTGAACACTAGGTGTTGTTCGATTGACAAACAAATTCATAAATAATTTATTTTACGAGAGAAAGGATATTTGTGTACTTGTTTGGTTGACAATAATGTAAGGAGTGGGACTTCCTATAAAGTTTTATTTCTCACAAAATGTATGAAAGAATTAACTTATCTAGTCCCTCTTAGGTATGACTGTATGAGAAATAGAAATTCCTACATCCAACCAAACATTTGTTTGGTGATTCTAGGAATTATAATTATATGGCATTGAGACTTTATGGATGTTTCTACTCGCTACATCCAACCGAACAACCACTTAATAAATTTCTTCTCTAGAGGCTAGAGCTCACAGTTTATTATGTGGGATGTGTGAGTTGTGTTTGATTTATTATTAATGAATTAGCAGATCAATAACCCTATAGACTAATCTAACCTAAATGAAGACCATCACACATGTTCATATATGTGAGAACAAGAAATTAGATGCATATGGTTAATGTTACAAAATTAACCTAAAGACAATTTATGTTGTCTTTAGCTTATTCCACCCCTAAAATATTACCATTAAACTTATCAGCAGTGCACCTTTTTATGTTTGGTCCTATATTTTAGATACTACGTATTATTGTTAATATATCGACCAATTACAAGTAACATTCAAGCAAGATTATAAGATCAAAATAATAGACTGGGAAATTAGAATTAATTGAAAATTTGCTAATCTATAAAGGCTTTAAGCTTTGTTGGGTAATTCATGCAAAAATTTCTTTCTATCAGGGATAATTTAGTCAACTTCGTTCTCCAAAACTGATAAATACCCTATCCTGCTATATAAACTCATTTATTCAAGCGGCAGTTTCTGGCCTTTCTGTTGCAAAAAATTGCAAAAATTCACTATCTTTATTTCTTAATCTCTTACCTGTTTTTTGTCCTCTATTTGATCACCCAAAAAGTTCTCTATCCTAAAAAAGCCAGAATAATAATTATTAAAAATTAAGCATAATTTAATAATTTATGAGAGATCAGCAATAATAAAAATGCAATCTTTGGGTTTGAAAGTGTTCACTGATTTTGGGGTAGCAGCAAGAAAATCATGTAATTCAAAGAATACCAACTTAAATGGGGTATCGGATTATGAAATGGGTACCCGAAAAAGTTGGGGTTGTTCGACCATTGGAGGTAGAAATGGGGGATATTGTAGGATAGTGGCTTGTTCTTCGCAGAGAAATGCTGGTGGAGAGAGTAGCCCGAGTTCAAGCCCGATTCCTGGCCCGGTTGAGGATCAGGGTCAGCCCGGTCTTCTTTCTCGGACTCAAACTTATGCCATGCTTAAGCAACAAATGGAGGTTGCGGCCAAGTCTGAGGTAAAATATTGAATTAATTTACTTTTTGATTGATATTTATTGAATGTTTTTTATTATTTTATTGATTGATTATGAGTAACTGGAGTTGGGTTTTTGTAGTTATTTGAATTTGGCTTTAATTTTGAATTTAGGGAAATATTGCCTTTTTTGTAGTTGTGAAATAATTAAGGTGATTGGTGGAACTTTGTTAGGTTTTATAGATGTGAATTGGGGGAAACAAGTGACAAACTTATGCTCCTTATTATTGTTGTGTGATGCTATATGCCATTTGGGTTATCAATGTTACTAATGATGTAGTGGATGGAAATGTTTTTTTTTTTTTTCTTTTCTATATGGTGTAATTTCGAGTTTCGATCACTTATGTATATCAAAAAACGATACTTTGTACGGAATATATGGATTTCTATAAAATTTGAGTACAAAGGATTTTGGCTTTTGAATTTTTTTATGGTTGAAGTGATGTGAGGCAATGAATTAGTGGAAGTGAAAATGGGGGAATTAAATGATTATATATTTGCTATGTCTGTTCATTTGTCTGGTATGTGGCACTGTTGTTCCAATTTGTATCGATTGATTGTTCTCATTAAACAACTTCAAGCTTTAGTAAAACATGTCAAAATAGTGATTTGTAGATAGATACCTGATTTGGTTGAATATTATGACTTCTAGGTGTTCATATGTTTGGATCACTAGTTTGCATAATGAAGTTTGTTTTGGATGTATAGGTTGTTGTATCACTTTGGTAGAAAGCCATTGCCAGACTTCATTTATGCGTGCAGTTTTGAGTTTTGTTTGACTTGTACATGTATGGAATTGAGTCTGAATGATGCAACACTATTTTGTCTAATAAATACATTTATGAGTTTGAAAGTGTATTCAGAAAATGGCTTAAGGCAGAGGGTGAGGTGAAATAAATCATGCATTCCACTCTTTAACATTCTAATTATACAATATGAGTGGACAGCTTTCGCAGGAGTTGGCTCATTATTATTTTTACTTCATTACTTAGACTCTAAGAGCAGTTATCTTCTGTACTTTCAGGATTATAAAGAGGCCGCGAGAATACGTGATTCATTGAGATTATTCGAAGATGAAGAGCCAGTTTTGCGGTTGAGGAGACTTTTGAAAGATGCTATTGCGGAGGAGCGGTTCCAGGTGCTCCTCTTTCTTTCATATTCTTTTTTTCCCTTCCCCCCCCCCTCTCCCCTTCTTTCCTTTCCATTCCATTCTTCAGATGTTCATGGCCAGGATGTGAATTTCTTGGAAAATTGTTCCTAGGTGCAGGTTATAGAGTGCATATCCAGAGTTATTAACTTGAAATGATCAATTCAATGGAAATGTTTACAAAGAATTCTGATGCAATAGTGCACAAAGTACTCTCTTATTGGCATTGAAACTTGATGCATGTTTGAGTTTTCCATACATTGTAGTATCCTAGGTACACATATAGACGTGTCACAAGAGTATGACAGAAATATAGTTTTTAACTGACTTGGGAAACTGGACAAGTATGCTTCTGTCACTGAAATTGTCTTTATAATTCTCACTGTGAAACGAAATGTCAAGAAATAGGCAATGATTTGAAATTGGTATCTAATTTGATGAACTAAGGATTCTAGTGGTACCGAAAAGTGAAGAACCCATGAGAACAAGGAATAGAAGGTCTCTCCCCCCCCCCCCCCTTTTACTATTGACTCTTCTAAGAGAGTCTCAAAGCCAAGGGAGGATATATAAATAAGTAGGGTAGGGTTTCTAGGTAAGAAAGACTAGGGACTAGGGCCTCTAGCTCCTTACTAAGAGGGTAGATGGAGGAGGACCTTAACACTTTGTTTGAATTATAGGAAATGGAGGTAAAGGAAGGGAGGAGAAATGGAGGGACGAAGTATCCTTCATTTGGATAACAAATGGAGGGATTAAATTGTAAGAAATTGATCTCTCTAACAATGGAGAGATTTGGAAGGAAAACTCATCATCTTCCCTCCTCTCCTCTCCCTTTCCTTTCCCTCCCCTTCTTTTCCTTCCCCTTTCTTTATCCAAACACATTGAAAAATATTGGTTCTTTGCCACATCCTGAAGGGAGAATTTTACAAACTTTTAAAGCGACTTTCACTCTTTATATTAGCACTTCACCAAACTTGACTTACAGTAGATTTTTAGGACCAACAAGTTTGTTCTTGATTGAGCAAGTTGATGCGCATGCCCAAACTAAAACTGCTAGGTATAAGGTTTTTAAAATGGCGAATAGAATATGGTTTATGCTGATTCGGACAAAACATTGGTAAGAGAAAGGAAGGGGAGGGAAAAAGGAGGAAGGGGAGGGGAAGGAAAGGGAAGGAGGCGATGGAGCTCCAATTCCCTCCAAATCTCTCCCTCCCTTCCCCCTTCCTTTCCTTCCTTCAACTATTTATCCAAACAAAGGGATTTGCTCCCCTTTCTCTCCATTTTCTTCTATCCTAAGTCCTAACTATATGTTCTATCCTCAGCCCTAACTATATGTAATTGTCCAGTTCCTCAAGTGTGCCTTTTGTTCCCGATTGGAGTATATTGATGTACATGATCTGACATTCTAACCTTTTTTTTTTTCAAATGTATTGTTTTAGGAGTCTGTTGCAATTGGCATTTGCTATACTCCTGGTTACATTGACATCTCCTGAATGATTGTAATTTAATGCTTGGGAGCTGATGATTCTGTACCCTTGTTTTGTTTCTACTTTTAAATTGACTAGTAACATGAAATATTGTTTTACTGTCCACAGGATGCTGCAAGGTATAAGGATGAACTAAAGGAGCTCTCTCCACATTCTCTTTTGAAGTGCTCCAGCGATGCTACTACTTTGGTAAGTATCTAGGATTTTTATCTATATGTACTCTGTCTTGGTGTTATTCACTTGTGTGGTTGTGCTTGTACCTCTGTTGTAAGTTGAGCAAATGATAGTATAGTGCTTACTTTTGATAGTTCTTGCAGTTTCTGTTTTGCCGGTCTTTCTTTTAAGTTTTGGGAACTTTTAACTTTAATGTCTGTAACATGATACAGAGCTAGAGAAGTGCATAATCTTCTTTTACACCCTCTACGTTGTGATCTCAGCTGGTGGCTCATTCAGTTATTTTTATTTTCTTGGATTTGATGCCTACTCCCTGCCTTATTTGTATTTTTTTTTATTGTTGGTGTGGTAGACTGTTGGGAAATTTTATGGTTCTCCCCTGAATATCAGGTGTAGGAATACCAAATACCTCAGTCCTACAGAAAACATCTCACTACAACACCAAATATCTTCTATCCATTCCACCTCAACCAGAGGTGGTTTATGTCCTACTAAGTTTCAATTTTTCATTTTCCTGTCTGTCAACAAGAAGCCTTGATCCAAGCAATCCTGTCATTTTTTAAGAGGTAACTTCAAGTGTTACTTAAGATATTAAGTTTATGTTAATCAAGATTAGCATTTCTTAAGGTGACTTGGATTGATGAAAATGAGTGAAATGTGTCAGTGAGATGACTGACAATACTTTGGGGGTGCTAAATCTTAGTTTTCTACACTTCAGAGTGTCTGTAAGAAGATAGCTCTACTTGCGAGGTCTGTGTTTTAAAAAAATCCTTAGATATGTGTTGGAAATTGAAGTTTGAGGAAAAGGGTTGACAAAAGAAAATTACTGAATTGTTTTATGTCCGGAAAGTAGGTGTATTCCGATAATTATTATTTTTGGTTATTTTTCTCGTCTGTTTTTCTGATCTTTGCTATTCTGGAATGGAAATGCTCAGTTTCTGATATTGTTATGTGATATTCCTCATCTGTAAGTTCGTTTGCAAATGGATCACTTAGTTTAATGCCTACTTTGTTGTATTCCAGGGGATTCGTGTCCAAGTTAGGAGTGTCTACATCGAGGGACGTAGTCAACCTTCTAAAGGGCAATCCTTTTTTGCATATAGGATTAGAATAACTAACAATTCAGATCGTCCTGTGCAATTATTGAGGCGACATTGGATAATCACTGATGCAAATGAGAAAATTGAGAATGTCTGGTGAGTTGTCTCCTTTCACATTTGAGAACTTCCCATCTATTCTGGTCTATTCTTGAACTTCTTTGTTCTTACAATGACTTTCGTTGTCTTCCAGGGGTATAGGTGTCATTGGTGAGCAACCAGTAATACTTCCAAATACTGGCTTTGAATACTCTTCTGCATGCCCTTTAAGTACATCTAACGGAAGAATGGTGAGATTCCTGTTATTGCAATTCGACTCAAAGTCATTAGTTATACACATGCATTTCATAAGGAAATGTAATACGATTTTATTTATCTACTTTGCAGGAGGGTGATTTTGAAATGATTCATATCGACAAAGTAGGATCAAGGACATTCAATGTAGCTATTGCTCCATTTTCGCTCTCCACACTTGGTGACGATAGTGATCCTTTCTGAACTGAGAGGTTCAAAAGTAAAGACTATCATATATATATGGATGTTAGCTGAAGAATTGGTCAAGTGTTCCTCACTACATATACTTCGTATGATTGAAGCCCTATGAAGTGATTATGTTTAGCTTGTTGCGTTAGCCCTTGTCATCAGAATGAGAAGCGAAGAGTATGTCCTCACAAGTGCTCGAACGATGAAGCAGAAGATCTGACCTTTGAATGCACAATTATAGTCACAATGTCGTGTATATGTTGTGTTAAAGGAAGTTTTACGGTTTATATTAGTAATATTGTCATCTCTTTAAGACTTTCCTTGTAAATTGTAATTACATAGAAGTGCTATTTAGATATGACTGTTTACAAATCACAAAAGTTAACCGATCATACCTCTGCCCTAAAGTAGTAAAGTATATAGTACTCCATATTAATATTGAATGCCCTGTAATATAATTAAAAAAGGTTTGCAAAATATAATCATTTATGAGTAAGAGTAATATTCGCGATTATTTAAATAAGTTTTGTTATCTCTCAATTCTACTTTAAAATAACTTTTTAGTTGCGTCTCAAAAATTAAGCTTGTGATAAAATTTTCCACCTTTAGCGTCTAGGAAAGTACTCCTAACACAATTTATACCGGTCTAAATCATTTAACGACATAAAATTAGGATTACAAACTTGTCACTTAGCACGCATGTTCAATGTTAGTTTTATTTTGTTACCTTAATATCATCCCATTTTCTTCAATTCTAACTTCACTTCATTCCAACTCCATGTCTTTTTTTAACATACATAAAATCCTTTACCCTTCTTCATTTCATTTGCATGCTATTCAATTCGGAAAAAAAAACCTCGTGTTACTTTCATTTCTCTTGGTGACATACTAGGGAGCTCAGCTCCTTTGTGTAGGCGAGTTAAACGAATCGTTTTGAACGTTGCTCGATTGGGATACCAATGGTTAGATATGTTTACGACGGTATAATTTTATGATTCATTTATCTATTTCGTATTGCATTAATTTCTCTATTTGTACATTGTTTCATTTTGTTATTGTTATTGTTATTGTTATTGTTTTATAGGAGTCTTTTCTCTTATGTGTGTGCTATGTATGACAATATATAGATCCTACTACCCTAGATTCCTTGTTAAACCAAAGGTTTTTGATTTGGGCCCAATACTAATCATTGGGCCTGAACCTGTGTAGCTAGCTTCTTAGCCTATCAAATGAGAGTGATGCGAGTAATTTAAAATCGCTAGGTTCTAAGCAAAATGGATCATGATAATTCAAATTAACATATGTAACCTCTAATATGCACAATTTTATTATAATTACTAGGTTATTCCCGTGCGGTGCACAATTAAATTATTTATTTTTTTAAAATTTATGTTCAGTTGCATTACTATGTATTGTATATGAAGATTATAATTAGATATAAAAATACGTTACTTTGAAGGAAAGTTTAAAAAAGTAATAATTTGAAACCACGATCAAATATAAAACAACTTAGGCATGTGCAACTGCGAGTATAATTTAGCAGAGAAACTTGACTTATTAAATTCTATATACACTTATAAGTGTAGATAAAAAATATAATAATAAAAAAAATCATTAGTGATTGATGACATCACATAGAATTGGAGGAAAAGTTTTTAACGTGAGGATGACACATGGGATAGTTTAAAGGTTGATGATGTCAGTTGTATTTTGTTTTAGTAATAGTTAATATGTCAATAAAACCTCCATATTAAAAAAAAAACTACTTTATAATCACAGATTCACAGACAATGATAGTAAGCCATCAAGTACTAACCCGTGCAAATTGCAATAAATGGTTATTATTCTATGTTACTTAAACCCCGGACTTATAACAATTTAACCTTGCTCCAATCATATGAGAATAGTAATTAAATCGACTAATACGGAGTCACGATCAGTCACGAAGAAGTAATATGCACAGTTACACTAGCTAGCTAGGGTTTAAATTAGAAAATTGAGACGTACAAGCTTGACAAGCGTGGACAAATAATGTTCATAGAAAATGAATAATTTGGATAATATTAATGATTAATAGAGTCTAAATGAAGGATTGCTTATAAAAGTAGTAGTTGGGATGTTGGTTTTCATGTTGGTTATTTCACGCATTACTTGCTACATTATCGTAACAATCCAAATATTCTTCTATTTTATACGGCATCCTTCATTCTTATACTCACACGACTTTAGCTTTTATTAGAAGCATGCTATGCTGCAACAGAGAGAGGGAGAGAGAAAAAAAGGCAACAAACAGTTGTATAATCAAATTTTATTTTATTTTTTTTCTTTGTTATATACTACTCATAGGGTGGAATTATAGAGTTATAAGAGCATTGATGAATAACGATTTAGGGTATATACTGTTCACTTCAACTTAATTTCTGTTCAGTTCAATTAAGCTCCAATCAATTCAGTTTAACTTCTAATTTCCTTCTCTTATAAAATATTCAGTTCAATTCAGTTCAGCTCAATTTAGTAAATGTGAACAGACCCTTAGACAGGATTTCATCCTTAGTCATGACTCATGGGTACTCGTCATACTATACTATATGTCGTCTATTTACAATTTATTATAAACTAATGCTTCAATATAACTATTTAATAAATTTAGTTTAAGCTGACGAAGTAGTTGATCTCAATTAGAAAAAGATTAAAAAAAAAAAGTTGGTACATTTGATGATTATATGATAATGAATCATTCATGAGAATTAAGTTAATTTCAACCCCTTTAAATGTGTCTATAATTAAGGAACGTAACAGCAAAAAAAATGTAGAGAACTAGGAAGGCAAATTGAGCCAACTTTTTTTTTTGGCTTACGAGAGCTTTTATGACGTTCTCTAGCTTAGCTTTATACGTAAATCTTTGTATTTGTACAATGTATGTGTATAAAAGTTTGATTTTGAGAAAAATCCTTAAGCTTTTTTGAAAATCTCTACGACATACTACTTACATTTTTTAGTTGTTACTTTTTATTGAGAATTTTTCGCTTACCCCCTTCTTTTGACAGTATTATAACCAAATATACAATTGTTTAATGAGTTACAGACAATGTATTATATTCAAAAGTACTCCATTTAAATTACCCTTTCATATGTACATAATATGGAGTATTAAGTTGGTGAACAATTTACCTTGTGACTTTAAGGTCATAAATTCGAGTCCTACCAACTATAATTGCTTAAAAGTATAGGGGGGATTTCCTTATACTCCCTCTGTGATTTTTAAATGTTACAGTTTGAAGACACATAGTTTTAGGCAATTTAATTGACTTAAATAAAATAAGAAGTAAGTGGGGTAGTTGGAGTATTAAAAAATTGTTTTCACCAAAAATAAAAAAAATAAAAAAATTGTAAAAGAAAGATAGTGGGGTTAATTCTTTATTGAAAAGTAATAAATGCGAGAGAAAAGATACAATAAAAAAGTGGTAGTAGGTTTGGGTAGGGACCATGAGAGGAGAGAGATACAATTTTTTAATGTAACTTTTTGCCAAAAAAAAGAAGTGTAACACTTAAAAAAACACAGTCGAAAATGAGAAGTGTAACACTTAAAAAAACACGGAGGGAGTATTCACTTTACTAGGTTAGCATCTGTGTGATGCACGGATTTACCACTAATTTATCTATTGGATTTTTGTAAAAATAAAATAAAATTAGAGTTTAAAATGTTCATAAGTTCAACTTTATTGACTTCAAATATGCTAACAACTCTTATAAAGACTCCAACAGCCTAATATCAACAAAAATCACCAAAGTATTTGTTTTTAATTAATTACCTAAATAATACTCCTACTCTCTGTTTAAAATTAATTAGCATTTTGTTTAAAAAAACAAAAATAAATAGCATTTGAGCGGGAAATCTTTTCATGAAATAGCGTCACATGTACAACTTTGTAAAAAGATGACATCATCAGCGATTGCTGCTTTAGTATTAGTTATAAACTCTTAAATTAAGTAGTTTTTTTTCTTAAAAAAAAATAAAGCCCAACTCATATTGATTAATATAATAGTGTCTCACAATTTTACAATAGTGTCTCAAAATTTTTAAAGATGTAAAATAAAGTTCGTTTATTCAAATCACTTCTTATTTTAACTTTTACAAATTACAATATTGGAAGTGTTTCACAATATCAACTCATATTATTAATTATTCTATATACACGTAATAGTAACAACAAAGTTACCAAAAAGAAAAGAAAAAAGTGGACCTACCATGCAAATACAAAATCTGCAATATTCGTTGAGATCATGGTTGTATATCTCTGTTACCACCCTAACTAAGAATCTAATTAAGTAAGGCCATAAAATGGCTAATTTATATGGTTCATTTTCATTCTTATTTACATTCATATATTCTATTTTTAGTAGTAGCTTGTAATATAATACAACTAGGTTATGTTATGTTATGGGGCCTAGTTATGGCGTCTAAGAGAAGACAACCAATAAACTTAACCGTGTTAAGAAAGTGACAAACTCCATATGTTTCGGTTGAAAACAATGGGACCTTGCCGAAGGTCCACTAAAATGGAGAAGACTGGATTCGATCCAAGCTGTGTTGGGCCGAAGGTTTCCTGCACAGTGAACACACGTAAACTAGCCTCGGGGGTGTTTCCGAGGAAGGCCCCTCCGATGCTAAAGTCAGTACAATGTGTAAAAAGGAAGACACTATGCAAGAGAGTTTGTAGCTTGAGGCTTTTGTGGAGTATTTCTCAATGCAAGAATGAGCATATCAGTTGGAATAATCCGTGTATGAGATAATGTATGTGATGATGCATGTGTTGTTGTGTCTGATAGTGTATATGATGTTATGAGATGTCTCTTGAATGTGTTAATATGAGGGCTTTTATACCTCATCATATTTGGAGAGGTTGGGCTTTAGCCCAATTGGCTTACTTTGTGGGCTGACTTTTGACTTTTGAGCAATTGGAGAGTTGAACCTTGACCTTGGGCTTTTAATTGGATCATTTAGTGCTCAGGCCCAATTTTGACTAAATTGGACCCAAACAACTTGCCCCCCAGACCCGATTCGGAAGAATGACGGGTCGGGTTTGATTTAACTCAGAAAAGGAGGGAAGTAAATGATTTAATTGATCCAAAAATTTGAATTTAAACCGTAATTAATGAGATAACAACGGTTAATGATTTGCGGAAGTTGGACGGATAATGGGCGGTTTAATCACAAGACATGTGTTTAATGGTTACTTAGTGGGTACTTAAGAGAAATTAAAGCACAGACTCTTCGTATCCCGTACCTGGAGATATAAACAGAGGCGCGTCATTCTCCTCACTGATTCACCAACACAAACCCAGAATTCTTCGAGAGAGAATCCAAGAACCCGCATCAAAACTTCGCAAATTCCCCCGAGCATTGAGCTTAGAAACTGAGACTTGCCACTACGAACTCGTAAATCGGCAACTTTCGCTTCAGATTAAGGTAAATTCCTTT